CCAGATGTTGCTCGTCTGAAATTCACATCAGCCTAAACTTAAAGCAACAGCTCTCTCAAACGTTTGGTTTTCCGTCGTCTGTTTTTGCGTCAAGCCAAAACCTTGAACTGAATTTGTGGATCCGTCAAAACAAAGCTGCTAATTACTTTTCCTCTGGCATTGTTTGGTTTTCTGCTGATTTGAGAACGACTGCAGCAAGAATAATTCTGGCAGCAGCAGGCAGATTCTGGCTCAAAGCATATTTTCATACCCAGATATTAAGCCTTCTCGAGTTGACGCAAACACAAACACTAATTTCCCTGCTGCAGCTTCATTTCATTCACCGGCCGGGTGTCACACCTCTCACACATAACTGGGCCATTTATGAACGCGTTTCTCTTCTTCTACTGTTGGCGGTTCAGCTGCCTGCCGGATGATGATTCACACCACAGCTTTGGGCTTGTTAAACAAACAGGGAAGGTGGGAATAAAATGGCCGTTTTAATGGTCATTTTATGGTCACAGTGTGAATCTTTCCTCACCATCAATAAACAAACCATCAGGAGAAACTCAGCAGTCCAAGTTTAAACCCAACTCACTTATTTTAAAACTTTTTGAAATACAACGTATAGAAAGTTTGAGTTTTCTTCAGGTTATTTTAATACTTTATAAATATTTTAAAGTACATTTATTCATTCTTTTAACATATAATGTCTGGCAGTGAGGTGCCAACAGGTTTACCTTCACAAGTGGAGAGTTACAGCTTCCACTGTGATGCTCCACTTCATATATGTATAAAAGTTGATTAGAAATGTATTCAGGTTTAATTGAGACAGAAAGAAAGAGAGAAAGTTGGTGGAAAAGATTAAAAAGGAAAGAAAGAGAGAAGAGCAGAGGAGAGGAAAACATCAGTCTGTTTCTACAGCTGCAGAAAGAGAGAAAATAAACCGAACAAAGAATTACATGATGCACCGCGGCAGCTGCAAAAAAGTCCTTTAACATTTTAGTCAATATGTGAGATGTGAAGCAGACGTCACTATTTTCCCAGATTTTCCAATAAATTTATCGCTGTAGGAGTTAATTAGGAGAAACTTGATTTGGTTCTTGATCCTTTTTGCTTCCAGAAATATTCATGTTTGGTGAAGTTTAAAGAAAAATTAGATTATAAAGTGAAGGTGTGTCATTAGGATTGTATGATAGAAAATAAAATGCAAACTACTTTCATTTGCTAAAGCGGTTAATCTGATTAGTCACAATTAATTATTGAAATAATCTTAAACTAATCTAGTAATCGATTCATTGGTAGCTGGAGAAGACTCTCAAAAAAAGTCATTTACCAAAAAAAAAAAATTTCAGAGCAGTAATTAAGAAAAAATCATACAAAATATGAACATTTAGCACTTAAAAAAAACTTTTGTCTCTAAATATATTTTACAAAAAACTATTTGGGTGTTTTATCTTTTTGACACTTGGGTCAACATCAAGTCAAAAGTATTCAAAACTAACTAAAAATTTGGATTTTTTATTTGTTTTTCATTGTAAATGCAAAGGTTTAAAATAATTTGCTGTATTAACTGAAAGGCGTCTAGTTTTCAAATTCTTTTAGGCTTGGTTTAAAAAATGTATTCAGACTTTAGACCACTTCCTTTCAAAACTCTGGATAAACACGATTCTACTTCTTATAAACGTTTGGTTTAAAAGTATTAATAATTTGTTTTATGTTCAACATTTTTTAAAAACTGTTCTTCAACTGCAACAGTGGGCCACAAAAAAATCAGTCCAAGGGCTACGAATGGCCCTCGAACCGCGCTTTGGACACACTTTGAGCAGATTTAATCAATCTGAATATTAAATATTGCCAAGACGCTGAACGATTTTATTTTTATTCTTTTTAATCAGCAGATTTTCTGTAAATGAGAGCAGCCCGTCTCTTTTAATTGGCACGTTGCATTATGAATCTAAAAGTTATTTTCTCGGTTGTATTTGCTTTCACACGGTTAAAGGGCGAATTAATTAAAAACAACGTTGAAGAAGAAACAAAGTGTCAGAAACGCTGCTGGAAATATTCAGACAGCTTCATGTAAGAGTGAAACGCTGCCGTAAATTAAAGTTTATTTTCTGAAAACTCAAAGATTCATCCTTCAGAACCAAATAAATAAAAACCTGGAGGAAGTCCGGCTTATTTCACAAAGTGTGGTTCTGTTAAGTCCTTCTGAGCAGTCAGTGTCTTACCAGCAGCAGATAAAAGTTTGTTATCAAAGCTGAGGTTTAGTGTCAGAATAACTGATAAACTTTTATGCACTGAATAAGAAAAATGAATGAATTTGAGTAATGAAGGTTTTTGTTTTGCTGCTGGACAGCGAAGAGTTTTTTTTTTTTATGTTCCCTTCATCCACTGGGGTTTCAGGTTTTCCTGTTTTCCAGAACTGAACCAAATGTTCCTGAAAAACACATTTCAATCCAAGATTAGTTCTGATGAAACAGAAAAAAGTGAAATATTGATTTTCTCTCTTATTAAATCAGATGCATAAAGAAATACTTTAATTTCTGGGTCAGAAAAAAGGTTTTTCATCTGAACTATTTTCAATAAAAAAACAGAAGGAAGAGATTAAAGCTCAAAAGATAAGAAAGAAAAAAAAACTCTGGAAGGAAACGACTGTTTCTCCGTTTCATTCACACCAACCTGCATCCTGCAGGTCTATGCATTTAAATTTTTGTTTTTCTTCATACGTGTTGCATTTTGAATTAAACATGTAATCCTGGAGAAAAAACACGCTGTTCATGCTAATCAGATTCTGTTCTGGGAAAAGAAAATATCAGCTTGTTTACTTCAATGTTCTCAGGACTTTTGGTCGATGGAATAATCCCAACAATGCATCACAAACATTCAACTTCTTTTAGGCTGCAGGGATAAAATAATGGAATCAAAAGTAGAAACACCTGGCGCCGTGGTGGCTTCTGAAGATGTCGACTCAAGAAGACGACCTGGGATGGGTGAAGGAGTTTATCTCTCTAATAAATTTAGTGTGAATTTAGAAGGTGCATTCACAGCCCTGGTTAGTCGGCCTTAAAGCTGCAGTTTGTTATTTTTATTTTTAAAAAAAAGTTTTAAGGTATTTGTTAACATTTTCACTTGTCGTTACAGTATAAGACAGATAATCTGTGAAACAAGAAAGAGCTCCTCTGCCTTCTCCCAGAAATAAATCGCCATTACCACATTTAACAGCGCATACATGAGCATGATTGACAGCGCCATGACTTACCTTCTGGGTCTGACAGAGACAGTTTTAATAAATATATAAAAATCACATATTTTTATAAAAGTCCTGCAGCTTTAATCAAATTCCAGTCCATTTGTCCAGAAAGTCCAGTTTGTTTGCTGAGGTGTGAAGAACTTGTAATCGAACTCTGGTCCGCCTGAAAACCTCCGTCTGGGTTCAGTTGGTCTGAACTCTGGTATGTGAACACCAAGTGGACCGCAGACTGCTCCAAAAGCAGGAAGTGGACTACAGCACAAAGCATTCTGGGTAAACAAGCAAAACAAACATGCTAGCTAAGCGCAAAAGAGAAATCTTACAAGTGGTTAAATCTGACGCTGCTCCATTTTGGTTTACATTTCATGAAGAAGGAAGTTGCACTCTGCGTACTTTTTAGAAGTCTTTATGTCGTTTCCTTCAGTGGTTTCTGCTGCAGCGCCCCCACAGGCGAGGAGGAGAACAGGTAACAAATGTTGCAACTTTGGTCCCAAATCAAACTGAATCTACTGGACTATCAGGTGAGAAAACATCTTTAAATTGAGCTTTAGACCAATTAATTACCAAAACAAATTCTGAATTCAATTAGTTTTTTTTGTTTTTAGATTAAAACAATTTTAGGAAGTCCTCCAGATGTAAATAGCTTCTTTTACTCCACATTAAAATCTGATGCCAGCAGCTTTCGATCCAGTTCAGGTGTGAACTGATACATCAGGTACGATGCGTCCTCAGCTGCCCTCCAGTCTGAAAGGAGAAAAAACCATGAGGATTTTCCCCGATCATGCGTTAAACTGATAGTGAACCCTGGAATCCGCAGGGACACAAAGCCCTCTCCCAGCTTTCCTTTTAAGCTGTGCAAGCGTTAGCACCGATATAGCGCCCGCTTCCCACCTTTGAATGCACCAAACAAGCCGGACTCTTTAACAACACGGGACACCTGGCCCTTTCAGATCACAATCCATGAGTCATCAGGAGGCGAAAAAAAAGATTCCTGATTTTATTTGGAGTTGGACAGATCCCCGGCGGTGGAGGCGAAGACAAAGGCTACAGAGGGAGAGCAGGAATGGGCCCTGGCACCTGACGTCCCGGCTGCTCAGACGAGGATTAGCATCCAATTTGCCCGTCGTTTCCCGGGCTCAGGCCTGAACCAACACCTCGGCGCTACAAAGCGCCGGATGAAAAGGAGGCCATGGATGGTCACTGGCCTGGAGAAGCTCTGTTTAAAATGGCAGGGATAAAAAAAGGAGGCTGGTTTTTGATGTGCCGTGGAGAGCCAGGCTCTTCTGCTGCTGCTGTCCTGCGATGTTTCAGTTTCAGCTGCGAGCAGTGGGAAAAGCTGCTGCGTTTCCATTATGAATGACTGCAGTCAATGTTCTGCTAATGTTGAAAAAAACCATTTCACATCTATGGTGTTTCCATTAAACAGAAAACGCAATTAAAATAAGTCACTAAAAACATGCCACAACATGATCCTCCTACCACTTCCTGTCTTCTTCTTCTTGGTTTCCACCAGTAGTAACATCCGGTTGTTGCTCATGTGACTCGCATGACGCAAAAACAGTGTTTCCATTGCAGTTTTGCAAAATAAACCCATTTTATAGTTAGAAAATACGTGGTAAGATTTTGTGTTTTTGAAGTGCAAAACTAAATTCTTAGAGCTTCGCCTTTTGAATTTAATCACTTTCCAATAACAGGAATGTATTCACCCTCCACACACACAAAGCATCAAATAAAAACAATAAAATAATAAAAATCACAGCTTTTTGTGCAGAAAGTCATGAATATTTATTTGCTCGGGGCCATGAGAGTACAACCACAAGGACACTGTGCAAAGAAAGCAAACACTAAGCCGCGCTGACGGAGCGTTTCACGGACCGAAGTGATAAATCTGCATCAGGAGTTCATGCTACAAACACAGAACGAGGCGGGAGAACGAGGCACACACAAACCAGATGAGCAAATCAAAACACTTAAAAATATCCTGCTCATTTAGATTCTGCTTTAAATGTAATAAAAGGGCCTTTTATTCTGTTCAAAAACCAGAGAGACGCCGTTTAGTTTTCATGCAACAGGCGAAACATTTCCTTAAAGATGCTGGAGCAAAAAAATTAAAAACAAACAAACCGTCTCCCCACGAAGCTGCAACACAGTGATTTAAAAAACAAACGTTTCTTATAGTAACAGAAGAAAGGAGATGGAAAAAGTGTTTAACATTTTTAAAACTATCAGAATATAATAAAGGGAGGAGCTTATAAAACAACATGTAATGATGTTTTTATTCATAAAATTAAAAAGGGCAGTCTGCATTTCTAACCGTCTGAATTTCATCTTTCAACTTGAGATATTTTATCAACTTTAAAAATGGTTTTATGGTTGTGGCTGCAAATTTATGTCAAAAGATAAAAAAATCTTTTATTTTATCCATTTTCACCTAAATAAAATCTAAAATCAGCTCTGAAGGTGGATGTTGCTATAATTGCTGATTTTTATTTCCCACAGTGAGTTAAAATAAAAGATTTATATTATTTTAGGAATTTTAAAGATCAGATTTTAATAGTTTTTCAAGAAAATAACAGTTTCATTTCTGATTTATAAAAAAAAAATGTCACAGCTTAGCCAGAGTAGTGAAGTAAAATACTTATAATGTTGTAAAAATAGATAAAAATAACCAGAGTAAATAGAAAAACTGTTAAAACTCCAACCTGGGGCTCTGTGAAACACAAACAGCTCATGAATCACTTGGTTTGTATTTTTCAGATCAGTTTTATCAATTATTGTTGGAATTTCTTAAATTGCGCCTTTCTGACTGCAGGAAGGAGGCAGAAATGTCCCAAACAAACGCAGATGAGACAAAACGTCATTAATGTTCATTAATCTGTAGACAAACTGAAATTAAAGATGCTGTTTTTGGCTTTTGGAAAACAATATTTAAAACAAAAGTCTTGTTGATCCTGCTGGAAAGGAAGCATTTCTGTGGAGTTACTTTGTAAAGTGTGAGCTTAGTTAGACCTGGTGAAAAACTAACAGGATGTAAAGAAAACAACGTCAGACATGGTGGAGGTGGAGTCATGCTGAGGGGCTGATCAGAAAATCCCAGATCTGAACATTTTTTTCTCAAAAGCAAATCGCTGAACGACTGGAAATAAAGACAAAAACTAATTATTTACGCATATTTTTGGAGCGGTCTAGTCAAAGCCTCGACTTAAATCAGACTGAGATCGTATTAAAACAATCCTGAAAAGAAGAGTCATTATGAAGTTTGCATTGTTTTTTATTTACTCAGGTTATTTTTTCTGATATTAAAATGATTTTGATCTGAAATATTTAATGTGACAAAAAACTAAAGCAAAAAATAAGAAATCTGTAAAGGGGGTAAATACTTTCAGCTCAACGTAGCAGTTTTTATTTTCTAAATAAACAGTAAAAGTAACTAAAATCTGCTGTGAAGCTGATTAAATTTCTGTTTAGAATATAATAACCAAGCAAGATATTGTTCATTATAATTGAATTAAAAATGATTATTAATTTTGTTGTCAAATTAGATGTTTTTAGACCCAATGGGAGCTAAAATATATTTTAACTATAATTATCAATATTACTGACTTTCCAAAACAATGAAAACATTAATGTAAGAGAACGGCGTAATCCTAAACAATTAACAGATATTTGATATTTACCTGAAAAATAAAAATCCTGGCTGAAGTGGCTGCTTTTGGGAAAAACTGGATCTTTTCATTTTTACCATTTTTATCATTTTAAGCACCAAAATGTAGAAAAAAAAAGAAAAACTGAAACAGTTTTTCATCCACATGAAGATGAAAACAAACTTTCACTAATACATCAAATTATTTGTCTTATATTAATGTGGGGAATATTCATATACTTTAAGATGAATTCATGAAATGACCAAATGTGCGTCTTTGTTTATCATATAGAATTTCTTCTGTGCCAGACATAAAAATATTCTAGAAAACTCTAAAAAACAAGATAATGAGCTGATTGGTATTGCTGTAAGTTACTGATTGATTAGTAATATATTTTAAAGTTGACGGCAGAGAAGATAAAATGCACTACAAACAAAAACAGCATGAAGCTGGATAGAAAATGAAGATAGTTCTTTTTTTAAGCTCATCATCCTCACGCTGCTGCGGCTGCTGCTGGTCCTCCTCAGTCGTCGTCGCTTTTGCTTTTATCCGACTGATCCTGCAGGAAGAGAGAAAGACGGCGGTCAGAAAGCAGAGGACAGCGGAGGAGCTCTGGAAAAGGTCAGACTAGAAATCCTTCCAGCTTTCCGTTCGGTATCAGTGCTGTCACCAGCGCTAGTGGCTAGCTTCCAGAAGCTAACCGCTACCGTTTTAAGCTAAGTTCTCCGTCCGGCTGTTCCTGGATGAAAACAGCGAGGCGCAGCGACGGAAACGTCTGGTTTAACATCAGAACCGGTTCACACGGTGTTGGCCTCAAACATCCTTTTTCATTTCCTGGTTTGTTTTTGACCTAAAGTTCATATAAATGACACTGAATGACCTCTGACCTTCTTTTTACCTGAAGTATAGATTTTTGTGCGACCTGCTGTTAGAGCAGCAGATGGCCTCAGCTGGTAAAGAGACATTTAAGTAGAAATGTACCAGAGCTGGAGATAAAAACGTTCTGAAGGTGGACAGTTCTGCCGTAAGCCCTGTTGGATGTGAACGTAAACCTACGTTATCGTCCAGGTCGTCGTCGCTGTCGTCGTCGCTCACCACCGGCTTGGCCTTTCCGCGGCTCTGCCTCTTCTTGCCTTTGTCGTGGCTGCGTCCGTCCCGACCCAGCTTGATCTTCACCCGCACAGACTTGGCTGAGCAGAAGTCAGAGAACAGAACCAGGGTTAAGCATCGCAACGACTTCCTGCACTGCAAAAACACAAAGTCCTACCGAGTATTTACAACTAGTCTGTAGTGCAAATATCTTAGTGCACTTGAAATAAGATAAAACTAACTTACAAGTAATTTTTCAACATATGTTCTTACATCTGTGAACAAATTAAGGCTGAGAAAGGTTTTTAAGTACATTAGCATTTAGAGTTGTTATAACAGGTCGATTTTTATTTTGTGTTTTGTCGCTGGTAGTTTGACAGCTGCAGCGGTTTGGTGTTTTCAGTGGGAACGCACCGAGTCGACCTGCAGGGCGATTTCTAATGAGATGACAAGCTTGATTTTCAGGGTGTGTGTGTGTGTGCGTGTGTGTGTGTGTGTGTGTGTGTGCGTGCGTGTGTGTGTGTTTTAAAGTCTGCGTGTTACCTTCGGCCTCTGAGTCATAGTCGTCATCATCATCCTCATCGCTGTCATCCTCGCTGTCTTCGTCCTTGGCGATCTTCTGTCTGGCGCTCTTGAAAACAGACTGGAGAACAATGGAGTCCTCGTATATCTGTTATTAAAAATATAAAGAACCTTCATTACCTTTGAAATGAAGGTTAGGACAATTATTTAAAGTGATGGCAGCGGCTGTTTCCCTGCAAAGGCAAGCAGACTGGTCCCACTGGGACCAGAAGGCTCAACTACGAACGGTGAATTTTAAGTTGTTAAAATTCATTTTGGGAAGAGAAACATTGTTTCTCTCAATCTTATTAAATAAACACAAACTGCATGTGTGAAAATGTAAAAATCCCCAACAAAGGATTTAAAGAAGGTCCAGATGAAGTCAGTGCAAAGTGATGAAATATTAAGGCTGACACATTATAACAACTGTCCAAAAGTAAAAAATAAGCCAAAATGAGTTAACGAGGCATTGTTTGGTCCAGATATGCAGCAGAAATGATAAAGAACCAGAAAGTACCAAAGAGTTTTGCCACAGACAGACCAACCAACCAACAGAAAGACTGAAGGAAACACTGAGCTGTGAACGCCCCAGAGTTGTTCAGAGTTAATCTGAGAACATGAGGAGGTGAAGGACCGATCAGAGAAAAGCCGTTTGGTACCTGGGATCCCTCCAGGTTGAAGGTTTGAGCGTTCTGACACAGGAGCATCACGTCCTTCTCCAGGTCACTCAAACTTCGGTATTTATGGTTTCTCACACGTTCCTGTTACCAGCGAGGAAAAGTGTTACGTCTTTTAAGACTCAGTTTTCTACAATCACAATGAAGGGCTACATTTTCTCATATTAATGAAGCTTAAATCTACAAATAATTATGACCAAAGCTGCTATAAAACCTCCTGACCTCAGGAAGATTATTCAGAAACATCTAATCCCCCAAAACCCACAGAGACATTTATGTGGTCCCTAACATTTCACAGGGCAGGTGGAGATTAAACTAAAGCCCTTCCTACACCTGCATCAGCATCTATAAGTTTGGTCTGATGTCACTCAGCAAACCTTGATCTTCTTGAAGTCGACGGGTTTTCTGATCAGCTCGTAATACTCTGGCAGTTCCTTCCTGGACGGCAGCTGGACAAACACCTCGCTCAGCTGCCTGCCTGACCTGGAAACGGAAAAGAAACCTTAAAACTGGGATTCACAGCTCAGAGGAAATACTGCTGTTGGTTTATAAACCTCTGAATGGCTCAGCACCACAACACATTAAAGATCTGCTGCTGTTGGTTCTGGTTCTGCTCTGCATCCAGAACCAAACGAGGAGAAGCAGCATTCAGCTTACAAACAAACTTTCAGAAAACTGCAAAACAGCCGAAACACTGAGTTCCTTTACATCTAGACTAAAAGCCTCCGTTTTTACTGTTCCTTTTGAAACACAATAAGTGAAACATTGACCAACATTTTGATGTGTATTAATGATTTCGTCAAAATGTAACATTTATTACTGGTTTCTCATTGTTGTCTGATGGTTTTATGACATTTTATTTTTGTGCTTTTATGATGTAAAGCACTTTAAACTGCCTTATTTCTGAAATATGCTACATAAATTAACTTGGCTGACTGATTAATGACCAAACCCAGACTAATTTGGAAAAAATCAGCTTTGATTTGCTGAAATGAAGAAAAGTGGATCAGCGTGTAAACAGCAGGGCTGTCATGAAGACCAGAGATGATTATGACCCACAAATGCAAAGAAAATAAAAACTCAAGCAACAGCCAATTTATGGAGGAGAGAAATATATAAGTATGTATTAATTATCAGATTTGCAGGTTGAAAGACCATTTCACTGAAGCAATTCAGCCCAGATACGGTTTTGTAATTAGCAACTAATAAGAAGAGTCCCTGTTTCATGAAGTTTAAAGGAAAAAGGAAGAACATATTCGCAGTTTGTACCTTTAATTTTTAATAAGCTCAGTGCTGTTCATCTTGCAGACATCTACATTTATTCAAGTTGAAGTTAAAAGGCTGTAAAACCAAGTCCAACATGTTGGAACCCATGAATATTTATTTGCCAGCTACAAGTACAAGCAAAGATTACCAGGTTGTTTACTACCTGAAGTTTCCCCAAAGCTAATTTCCCCAGAGAAGGAAAAGAGGGGGAACAGATTTTAGTCGGCAGAAGTAGGCGTCGGAGTTTCCTCTTCTACATTCATCTTGTAAACAGACACACTTGATTGCTTCTGTCAGAAAAGTTTTCAATGCCAACAACACAAGCAGCTCCAAATCTGAACCATCTGCTTCAGAGCGTTCAGATGACCGCTTCACTGGCGGGTTGTGCCAGGAGACTTCCTGTTGTCGTGTTTACAACCCGCTGAATTATTACTTTTCCAAAATTTGACACGATCTTAAAAAATGGGCCGGAGTTTTTGACTTTAATCACAACTTCAACAGCCCAGATGGGATCAAAATATAAAAAGGAAAAACAAAGCAGCAACTCTTTCATCCACTTAAGCAGATGTCTCCTCGTGTTTGTCCTGGATGATTTGAGAAGCGGTTGGATAATACGGCTAATGAAGAGTCATAAAACGGTGGTGCAGGAGGGTTTGCCATTAATCTTCTTAATGACAATCTGTTAGTGGAGTGAACTCTCTGCTGCTGCGTTTGGATGTTTGCTGAAATGGGTTCTGAGTGTTTTACAGAAACACCCACACTCTAAGCCCCCATCAGAAAGCATCACAATGCAGAAAAAAGTTTTTCCTTGAAGATTTTCTTTTTAATGTCAGAAAAAGCAAGAACTTCCATCACTGGTGGCAAGTCTTTTACGTCTCTCTGGAGGAGGTTTGGCCAACTCTTTGTTTGCAGATGCCACAGCATTCTAGTGAGTGATGGGATTTAAAAATGTTCTGGTTTAGTTACCTCTGTGTGTGTGAACTGCAATCTGCCAAAACGGCAGACAGGCTTCAGATCTTTCCTTCACTGTTCATCCAATTACAAGGCGTTAAATCAGGAAGTCGAGCTTCATTTTAGTCATATTTGATATATATATAATTTATTGGTAACAGTTTCTTAATATTGTGTTGCTGTTAAAGTAACAACTTAAATATTGCAGTATTTATTGGAATATTTATTGCACAGGCATATTGTGCAATAAAATAGCACAATATGCCTGGAAAACACATATTTTTAATAGAAGCTTTTAGACATGTGGTCCTGCAGTTATAAAAATGATTTTTTTAGTTCATGTATTTATTCATATTCTGCTTTAATCTCTTTGTTTTCTAATTAGATAGAAACCAAAATGTTTATTGCATCTCTAATCTTAATAAGGTTAAATATATATAATCTGAACGCCTCAGGAGACCCAAATATCGCCCAACTCTGTAGTCTGATATAATCTGTGAAGTTCCCTGGATGTGGAGTCCGGAAACGTATCTTCAGATGTCTGCCTCGCAGTGTGACGGCACCATGAATGATTGCAATTCCTAGAAACCTCAGAGCAGCTTGGTTTGTTTATTTACGGCTCTTGATGTGAGATCAGGAAAACGACTGATCCCAGAACAGTTCTCTGAAGGTGTGGCAGCTCTTTATCTGCTCAGATTTCCACACTGACAAGCCTTCATGTGTTGTAGAGAGGAAATGAAGCTTTGTTTATTTTTTACTGCTTCACACAGTTTGGAGGTTGTTTTATTTATTTATTTGGATGAGAAAAGACAAAAGTCTTCAGTCTGGAGCTTTGGTCTCAACTGTCCCTTTCTATTCTCTGTTATTGTGACAGGACAACATACGCTGTGAGAACAACGATCAACGATCTCCAGTTTAATCATATTCAAGTGGCTTTCCAGCTAACAGTAAAAACCTCAACATTATTACACGGTCAGCCTGCATGAAAACTGATTTTTTACTTCCTATAGGCAAAGATATTTTTTGTAGAGGCACTAATAAAAGTCAGGATTATAGGAGGAGAGATGCTGTTAATCAGCTCAGGGCCGCAGCAGCATCTCGCTGCCCGGTTTTTCTCCTGCTGCCTGAATGAAAATTCGGCCGCCATTAAAGCAGCAAAGGGTCGAAATGAGACGTATTCAAGGAAAAGATTCATCCTTTACTGAATGAATGTGAAAGAATCCCAGTGTGGGCCGATGTTTTTATTACGACTGAATCCTATCAGGTTCTCCCAGGCTGTGTCTGAAAATGGGTTAAAAATGAAAGGATGAAGACTTAAAACAGAAAACAATGTATTGTGGTTCACTTGGCATCACATCCAGGTTTGTTTTTGATGAATAACATTAAAACATGATGTACAGCAAAAAAGAGAAAGATTTTACATAATACTGGCCCTTAAAATCAACATAAACAGTTTTCATCTTTCCAGCTACATGTAGCAACACAAACATCACGCCTGTTGACTTTTCAAACATTAGTTGGTCATTTTCTTAAAATAAAAATGTTGTCATATCCAAATTTATACTTTTACTTTCTTAAGAAAGGCTTTTGCTGCAGTGCCAAGATCTGCAACAGAGTTTGAAATATTAGTTCTGTGAGAAAACCTTTGGCTACTTTACAGAAATATATTTCTTTACAGGCGTCGTATTTCAGTGCTTCATCAGTAGCTTAGCGGGTTTCCTCCTCTTCCTCCAGTCATTTCGACCATTTACACAGCTCAATGCACAATCAGTGTCATCAGTGTTTTCTATAAAGGGCCACCGCTGTATACGCACGCACGCACACACACACGCACGCACGCACGCACGCACGCACGCACGCACGCACGCACGCACGCACGCACACGCCTTTTTTCGGTCTGCTCATTGGCGACAAACTCGAACCAAATGGGCTGGACCACATCTTCCGACATGGAGCCAGCACAGCAGAACCAGCGGCGGCGCGGCGTAGCGCCGACATGGAGGACAGTGATTAAACATGTTATGTTCTTTATACGAGTCCTTCCAGAACCATTTTGGCTTCAGATTCGGTACCTTCCTATCGTCTCGGACCAGGTTTCCTGTTCTAACCTGACAACAAGAAGGTCTTTTCATCCACACAACGGATGTTTTCTCTTTTTTCAGTTATTACAGCAAGAAACTATCAACCAGGCTGAAGCCTGGGAGTAGTGATGGACTCTGACCTGAACCTTCAGAGCCACATAAAGACAGTTACAAAGTCGGCCTTCTGTCACCTGAAGAACATCTCCAGGATTAGAGGACTGATGTCTCAGCGTGATCTAGAGAAACTCATCCAGGCGTTTATCTTTAGTTGCATTGATTACTGCAACAGCGTCTTTAAAAAAATCAATCAGCTGATCCAGATGCTGTTGCTGGAGTTCTGACTAAAACCAGGAAGATACAGACATCAGCCCAGTTCCAACAAGAGAAAAGGCTTTAAGATACTGCTGTTAGTTTATAAATCACTGAATGGCTTAAAGATCTGCTGCTGTTGGATCAACCTTCCAGATCTCTCAGGTCTTCTGGTTCTGGTCTGCATCCAGCAGCAGCATCTCCAGACCCCACGAGGGACAATGGTGTTAGAAATGGATGGATGGACAACTGATTGTCCAGCGACATTTGTTGTCATGACAGGCCGAATCGTAATCGGGTTTTTTCAGCTCCATTTATTGTAATTGTTTAATTGCTGGGTCCAATAACTGGACCATAACTGGTCCAGTTATTGGACCAGTTATGGTCCAATAACCGGTCTAGCAGTCTGGGTATATTAGCATCTGTTTGGGTTGAATTTGCTGGTGGTGAAGAGACTACAAAATGGTCTAAATAACGTTTCCATGCCTCTGGGTTGTGTGCTTTTCAAAGTGCAGCAGCTCTACCGTACCCGTCCCTGTAGTTGATGACTGTGTCGATGATGGTGTTCATCTGCTTGGTGAGTTTGGGCGGGTTGGGCGAGAGCTTCTCGGCCGGCGGTCGCCCTCGCCTCTTCTTGGCCTTCATGCCGCCGTCGTCTCTGCTGGACGAGTCTTTGTCCTGGCGCCGTTTGCGTTTACGCTTCTTCAAGCGGATTTCCTCCTCCATCTCCTCCAAGTTCCCGTCCTCGATGGCCTGGAAGTCGGAGCAGAACAGAGACCGGGTTTAATGTTACTTCGCCTCATGATAACAGATGTTGCTGGATAATAAATAGTCCCAGGAGTTATTGTGATAAATGATGATGTTGCTGTTTTGAGAACATTTTCAGGTACTATAACGGTTGTACTGTCATAATAACCAAGAACATTCTCAAAATGAATAAACTTTAAATTCTGATGAACATTAAACCTGGAACTGGAAGACATTTAAAATATCCAAAATAAATAAACAACAGAAACAACAAATAAAATGAATTATGAAGTCTCTGTACACAAAACTGTCGTTCAAAAAAAGGAGCCGAGACGGAAACACCAGACTGGAGACTTTTATCATCCAGTTTTTGGTAGAAAGAGAAAAACAATAAATCATGCAGAGACTTCATCATAATTTATTTGTTTATTTATTTGGATATTTAAAATGTTTTCCAGTTCCAGTGTTAAATATTCATTAGAATTTAAAGTTTATTCATCTTTGAGAATATGTTTTTGCATCATTTTGCCATTATTACCATTTTATTGCTTAAAATAGTCTCAAAACAACAATATTATAGTTTATTAAGAAAACTTCTGGGGCAATTTATCATCCAGCAAAATGTTTTATTGTGACAGCCGTCGGTCACACAACCAGTTTATCAGTATTTCAGATATTTAAAACAAAAAATAATTAATAATTATTGATTAACTAATATGAAACAATTCAATCATGAAACTTTTTTCAGTGGGATCATCCAGCTCCACTGTACATTTTTAGTTATTGACATGTCTATCAGCGTTCTGCACACTTTAATTTTCCAGAGAAGAGCGTTTTACGCTGTTTTTAAGCCATCAGACGTGGAGCTGAAATTAGACCCAGATCTTTGTGTCACCTTGTCGGTGGTTTCTGTTCTTCCGTTTCACCCAGCCGGCGTGTCGGCCCACATTTCTGATCCAGCATCCTGTCACCTTGGCCTCAAAGTGTCTTTGTTCTAATTCTGTTTTTCCCTGAAGCGTCTGAGCAACTCAATAAAATTGATTTGCTGAGCTTTTGGTGTTTCTCTGGAGGAAAAGTGCTTATTCGTTGTTTGCCACCAGCGTCCCACAAGGCAAAACTTCTAATTATGTTCAGAAGTTATAATTATATAATATGAAAGCAATAAGCAGCATCAGCATACATTTACAGGTGGAGGATCTAAAGGGGAGCAGTGTTTTTAAAAAGTAGTCAGAAGCTCAGCAGCAGCAAAACTGAAGCACGAGAAAAAGAAACAACTTGACATTCTGTTGTTTTTCTGTCAATCAGAGAAAATTTAGAACCAGCAGCACAGAAATATGAAGTGTCACATTTCTGTTGCTCCAAATGAAAAGATCACAGAACGGTTGAAACCAAATCGACTGTTTTTATCTTCAGCAACGTATTAAGCTGTGGGTGCGCTCCGACTGGGGTTTTCTGGCCAACCAGACTTCGTTTTGTCTGAAAAGTCGCTAAATAAAGGGAAAGTGGCTGAATTTCAGAACCTTCTGGTATATTTACAGAACATTATATCAGTGGATAAGACATGCAAGTATCAGCCGATCACCGATCTAACAAAATTAAGAAAACCGTGGACGATTTATCAACGTTCTTCTAATTAAGAGTGAATTATTTTAGAACCTAATTGTTATTTTTGAGATAGTTTTACCAGACTTGGTAAAGGTACATTTATTCAAGTAACCTTTTTGAAAAAATGTACTTTTAGGAGGATTTTTACTGTACTCTTTACTAATTTTAATTTTATTATGAAGTATTTATACTCGTACTAGAGAAACATTTCTGGATTTTCTACCCACTGAATGAAAAACAAACATCAAACATCCAAAGACACACACCTGCAGTTTTGTTAAAGTTTCATAAGTTTTTTATTGAGAGAAAATAATTTTCTTTTGCCTGATTTTATTTTTTATTACTTATATCAGTCATTGTCATTTTCATCCTTAAAACACCAAAATTTCCATTTAACTTTATATTTTGGTCCGTCTGGTGATGTAATTTTTAACTATTAAATGATTCATAATTTGATCAGTCACTCAGGACCCTAGCAGACCATTTACCAAATATTTACCAAATACTTTTTTACTCTTATATTAAAATATAATGAACAATAAAATGAAAGTTATAAAATGTTGGGAGCAAACAGAGACAGTAACAACTGTAGAAAAAGTAACAGTGGGAATAATTATAATGATGATAAATAAGTAATAAAACTGTCCATGTGTTTGTATTTATAAGTGTGAATCGAAGCGGAGGAAGACGTTTTCTGTGTCTAAGCTAAAGAACATTTGGTTTCATTCATCCAAGTGGTTGCAGGTTTTGCTGGATGAATCCTAAATGGTAGGAAGTTCTTACCCGCAGCCACTGCTTCTCGGTCAGCGTGTCGCTGTAGTCCACGTCCCGCCGGCAGCGCGACCCTCGGCCGAACATCTTCTCCTCCTCCTCCTCGTAGGTGAGCCGCTCCACCTCGGCGTCGTCCTTGATGATCCACGACGGCAGCTCGTCCTCCTCCATCAGACGAGGCTTACGCTTCGGGTTGCGGGCGTCCTCGCGCCGACGGTCCATGTCCATGCGCTACAGGACGACAGAAAGGAGCAAGAGCAGCTCATGAGAAGACGAAACAAAAAAAATCAACGCAGGATGTGAAAAGATATTGCAGACTTTGTTTGTTTTACATTTGATTTTATTTATTAGGGGAAAGAGGTTAAGTCACGTTAATAAATCACTTAATTAGGAGTAGTTAGGTAACAGAAAGCAACACAACAAGCATGAGTCTAAAGAACTTCCAACATTAAATTAGAAACTATTTCATTGCACTTTAAAGCTTTTTTGAATATTTCAAATAGCAGTACACAGACTGCAGTTTTCTGGACAATAATCTGTTGTTGTTGTTCTGAAATGTTGCTGAGTTGGTAACAGCAGGTTAACTCTGGTTAACTAAAAACAACCAACACGACCAGGTGGATTTAGAAACAAACCAAAACGCCACATGTGATTCCACTGAAGTTTGCAGCAATCAGGTTGTTTTAATGATGTCTCTGTGCAGCGTGCAGACATGATGAAATGTTCCTGACAGACCATCAGTGTTTGATGTTTTTACTGTCACAGAATCACATTTCAGTAAATGTAAATTAACTTCTTACCATGAACAGATCAAATTCGTCTTCATTACGCGCTATCATCTGGTTAAGGGTTTCATCATCAGGGACCTCGTCTTCATCCTGAAACAAAGCAGAAGACGACATCATCAGGACGCTCTGCGTCACCCATTCAGGATTTAAAACATATTTACTGCCAGACAGAGAAAAACTCAAGTGTGCTGTTCAGATTTCAAGTAGGAAATAAACAGCTAAGGTTGGGTTAGAAGGGCATGAAAAATGACTGAAGGGCAAATTATTTGCACATCAAAGCGACGCCCTCATTGAGCCGACAAGGATTTAATTAAAATTTTCCAAACGCATAACACATAATTTACCTCAAGAGGAACAATCAGCCATTTATTTTTCTTACAACTCCAGCACTTACATGACGAACTCGGGCCGGAGGATCGTGTCTGGGGTCTAAATGCTGAAGAGCATCAAAACGCAGCTTTCCTACCTCGTTCTGCTCCTCGTGCTCTAGGATGGCCTGCAGGAAGGCGCGCCGCTCGTGGCTGGAGGATTTCTGGTCGAACATGCCGGCCTGGATGACTTTCTGATCCACGTTCAGTTTGTATTTGGCAGCAGCCAGGATCTTCTCTTCCACGCTGTTGACGGTGCAGAGGCGCAGAACGCGCACCTCGTTTTGCTGCCCGATGCGGTGAGCCCGATCCTGGGCCTGCAGGTCCTGCAGTTACAGGAGAAAATGTCATTAACAGGAAGTTAAAGGCATTTACACTGCAGGCGTCTCTGCTGCGCTGCACTGGGAACCCAAGAGGTGGCTGAGAAAGAAACATGGACAATGAGAGATTGCAACATAAAGCCAGTGATAAAAAGGATGCGTGATGTTATAAAATACTGTAGTTCTCCACTTCCTAATTTTATATTTTTTTTGTACATTAATCTCTCACTTCATCTGCGACTTGAGCGAGACTTCAACTTGGTTTCAGAATTAAATCCATGTTTTGTGTGTATGTGTAGCATTTACGTATAAACAGATCCATATGTTCATTAACTTAGTTGGTATTTCTATTAAATGTAGTTTGTCTTGGTGGATTATTTTGAAAACGCAGACGCTGTGCTCCTAAAATTGCCTGTTGATTTTTGAAGATTGACTCCACATTTGCTCCAGCGTCTGGCAAAAATAGAACCAGTCCTAATTTTAACTGATAGTGATGCAGAGGCAGCGTAAACGCCCTCACTGACTGCAAAGTGTTTGTCTTTACTGTGGAGTTCGTTTCGTGGTGGAGCGGAGACAAAAGCAGCGTAAACTGGGTAACATTTAAGGCTCTTTTCACACCTGACAGTCCAGTAGAATCGGTTCAATTCAGGGTCAAAATTGCAACACTTTGTGGTTCTCTGTCATACTGCACAATGTGAGAAACTAAACTCTGAAAAAGCTGTCCCCCTCCTCGCCTGTGGGGGCGCTGCACCACTGAAGGAAAGAACATGAAAACCTTTAAAGAAGAAACTGAGTAACTTCCTTCTTCACGGAATGTAATGGCGTCAGATTTTAGCGCTTGTAGGATTTCTGTTTTGTTTTTGATAGAAAAACTATGAGCCATTTTACCCACTACAGCTAGTCGCACATTTGTTTTGGTTTTATTTACCCAGAATGCCCTTTGCTATAGTCCACTTCCTGCTGTTGAAGCTCAACGTTCACATGTTCATTCAAACTGCACCAGAGTTCACTTCAACCAAACCGAGATCGAGGTTTGTAGGCAAACCACAGTTTGCTTTTTTGGTCTGCATCAGTTTGGTTACACGTTCTCACCTCCACAAATGAACCAAGTTCCAAAGCAAAAGGACCAGAGTTTGATTAATGCAGACTAAACAGGACTGGTGTGAATGCGCCTCTAAAGACAAAGGCCTTCAGAGATAAATGATAAAAACTGCTTTACATGTCGACATGATTGTGTTGTGATGGACGGACCTGGTGCGGGTTCCAGTCGCTGTCAAAGATGACGACCGTGTCGGCGGCCTGCAGGTTGAGCCCCAGGCCTCCGGCTCTGGTGCTGAGGAGGAAGATGAAGTACTGAGACCCTTCCTCGTTAAATTTCTTTAGGAGTGCGGCTCGGTCCTCGGATTTGGTGGTTCCTGAAAACAAGGATCTTGTTATTGATTTAAAGATTTACTTTGTTTAAACTGAAGCAGAGAATTACAGAAAAAAGAAACAACTTGGCAATAATTCAACAAACCAACTGTTACTGCTTTGTCTCATTGGAGGAATGTTTGAGTAAAATTTTACAACGGAATGAATGAAAATACAAAAATAAATATGTAATAATAAATATAGAAACATACAATCTTTCACATACATAAAGTACATTATTGTACTCCTCTACATAATGATATCTATATATTTATACATATACTGGCGAAAGCAGGAATATGTTGTTCTAACTATTTACACTAGTTACATTTAGGCTTATAAAATTATTCACAACTAGCAGCTGCGTCTGTAGCAAGAAGCAATAAATCAATTCACCGCAGGATAAATTAAAAATAAACTAAATAATTTCCTTTTTCTTTCTTTCTACCAAAAGCTGGATGTCTTAAGTTTTCAGTCTGGTGTTTTGTTCTTTTATTGAAGGACAGTTTTGTTTACAGAAACTTCATAATTAATGTTATTTGTTGGGTTATTTATTTTGGGTATTTAAAATGTCTCCCAGTTCACGTGTTAAATGTTCATTAGAATTTAAAGTTTACTGATGTTTGAGACGGTTTCTTTGTAGCTGACAGCCATCTTGGTAGGTATCCGTAACTAACTGTCATGGCAGTTGCTATGACAACAATAAACAAGCCACAAGCTCTTGTGTTTCCATAATCTGTATTATACGGGTCGATCCTGACGGCAGCCATTTGTTGAAAATTTCTCTTGCACATTAGTCAAGAGTGTTAACACACGTTCTTTTTGTTAGTTAATTAATTAGTTCTCTAATTAACCAGTAAAATACCTGCAAACTCGGCATATTTCGCAGGTGTGATCTTACCATCAAGGCGTAGATACTGGAAGTTGCGATAGCCGAAGTAATCCTCCATGATTGTCATCAGAGACGTCATCTGGCAGAACAGCAGGACTCTGTGTCCAGTGGCATGGAGCTTTGGAAGGATCCGATCCAGGAGCTCAAACTTCCCAGAAGCTCTGTACAGGTCATGGCTGATGGAGACGATGGCATTAAAAATCATTTACCTGCTCAGCTGCTGTTTCTTTGTAGTATAAGTCAAATAAAAACGTTTTATGCTTTCTTTATTTGATCAAACTAATGTCACTAAATAAAACTAATTCTTGTTTTTCACCAGAATAAAAAATATATTGATATGTAGTCATATACAAAATCACCCAACACGTTTAGTGTCTAAGAAAATATAAAATAAACAAATACAAATGTAAATTAATTTTGGCCAACAGAAACACTCAGCAACCAAATAGTAAAAACACCGAAATACACAAATGAAACAAACATCAGTTTTACAAGATGTTAAAAAGAACCCAAATATTATGTGCAGAATCCTGTTTTAATATAAAAGAAAATCTGTATTTTTAAAAAGCTCAGCAGTAAAAAGAAACGTAAAAACCCCTAAAACAATGAGCTTATGATCAGGAACATTTTCATTTCTTCCATCTGACTCAGACGTCTCCACTGGAGGAGAGACGGTCTGTGTTTAGGTTTTTAGCAAACCGATTAAATAACGGCTCATTCAAGATGATAACAGTAATAATATTAGATAAAACAAAACCTTGAGCCATTCTGCAGAATATGTCTGGTCAGTCCTACCAAACCTTGTTTAAACTCTGAAAGGTTCTAAAAGTACAGCGACATTTTCACTCTAGTGCCTGATTGAGCTGTCTTCTTTCACATTCAATGCTTTGTAAGTCAGATGATGAAATGAGCTGTGATGCTGTAGAAAAGAAGAGCTCTTTTATGTGTAACTTACCCATTGATGATGCCATTCGGGTAGCCCAAGTGCTCAGCAAAAGACTCCTGAATCAAAGAAAATGTCGGATTTTCATTAGGAAAAGGTGTGAAGGCCTAAAAATAAAAAAATATCTGAACTCGGAAGAGCTTTGAAAATACACCACAGAGCCTTTTGGGTTACTTTGATCTAAACAATGAACAAAGATAAACCAAAATGTTCAAAATGGAAGATAATGATGTTTTAACGAGAAGACAAAACTACACAAACAACTCCAACTTCTAAGACCTCAAACAGCCACTGTGACCAGTGAGCAAACGACCCTACATGGAGGAAAACTGAAACAGCTGTAAAGGAGTTGAACTTGTGGAGCATCAGAAACATGTATTCATGCCAGCAGAGCTCACCTCTATGTGCTGGAACATGTAGGGATGGTTGCAGATCTTCTTCAGCTGCATGATGGTGTTCATCAGAGTCTTAGCTCCGCCTTTGCCCTGAAGAAAATAAAAATATTGTTACGCTTTGTTGGGAATTTAGCTAACCTTTGCTTCTGTCCTTGTAGAAACAAACTAACTTCAATGAAGCAGGTAATCAATAATGCACTGCATCATCTCTACATGTCAGAATTTCACTTACTGAACCACCTGAACTTTGAATGAACTTCTTATAATTATTTTGTATTTTATCAAGATGCACGTCCACACATCAGGCTGAAAACTGTTCGTTTGATGTAAAAACAGCAGGAAGGCGTCATTATGAGGATAAAAGTCACCTTCTTGTCTTTCTCCGAGCCGTCGGTCAGCAGGATGCCTTTCTGCATGTGGCGGTAGAGAACCCTCTGGATCGCAGACATGTCGCATTTTATGACGTATTCCACCTGACGAGTACAAAACAGGAGGGATTATCAGCACAGTGGAGACTTTCTGGCTCAGCGGCACAGAGAGAAAACAGTAAACACAAAGTGAAGGAACCAAAACGGTTATTCTGACATCTTCATAAGGCAGTTAGTTCACTCTGAAGCTGATTTTCCCCAAAATGCAGTTCCAACATGGCGACCCATCACTGTCAATAATTAACAGCTGCAGCTGACAAGTTGCACAGATCAGCAGTTAAAGGCTGAGAGCTTCAGTTTCCCCTTGAAGAGGAAAAATGTCACTAAAAGGTCAGTAAAGAGAAAGTTCAGCTAAGAGACAGCTGGGCAGAGATTCAAATATGATTTATAAGAGATAAAAACCAACAACTCTCAGAGGGAAGCAGGTGCTGCTTGCATCAGCACACCAAAACATTTCATCACCATGAAGAGGAGGAGGAAAACAATGATGAAGTTTCTCCAGATTTCAGAAGGTTTTTTTCACCACTGACGTCAGAAAGCTTCAAAGAGGAGGAACACATCCAATGTGAAGGTGGTTTGAGAAACAACTTCAAACGGGCTGGAAAACGTAGAACCTTCTAAGTGTTGTTTCAGATCAATACAAATAGATATTGATTAACTTTATTATTTTAAATATCTGTCATGCTACCAAACCAGCAGAGATTAACTAGAGATGGCTAAAGCCTTTCCTCTGCCTACATTACCCAGAATGCCATGCGGTTCCAGATTGAAGTTCA